ACCTTTTCATATACATCTCCCTCCACTCTGGGGATAACTCTTGATACCTGGTAGCTTCACCATAATTCTAAGGTAACTTGTTCAAATCTCTCCCTACCCCTTTCCATATATGTCAAACATATATCCCACCCTAATATCCACAACAGATATGAAATCTCCCCCTTGTGGTGTGTGAACTGGTCGAATGCCCAGAGTATGCCCTGGAGGGAGGGGAGGGCATGTTGATCAGTACATTATGATGAAATGGACTTTACGTACACCAGATTTCCTGGTCTGTGATAACTCATCAATGGTTTACAGTCCCCCAGTCTTGTGTGTTTGGTGAGATCATATGAGTACCGGTAGGTCAAATGGCCACTATAATTTCATGTGGCAAAGGGAGACCTCAGATCTATGATCACAATGGATTGTAGGTCTCTGCAAACTGTACTAAAAGAAAAAGTGTCATTTGGAAACACACATTTTTAACTCCATCTTTTTTCATTTCCAGACGCAGCAAGCATACTCTTGTTGCATGGAATGATGCCTTGTACGTGTTTGGTGGAGACAATGGGTAGGTGACAATTGATTTTAAGTGTTTCATGGCTTTCAAATTGGCTCAAAGAATTTTTTAAATCAGTACTGGAAATAACAGCTGGTCATCAAACATTGTTCAACCAAATTTGTGGAATTGTCCAACTATTTTTACATCATGTACACATGACATGACCAAGTACCAAAATGACAGGTTTTGGTTGCGAGATCTTGTTCCTAGACCATGTTTGCTTTGAAAATTATATACCGTACACGTAAATCCTCGAATTAGCACGCGGGGCGCTTATTTCAAATTTAGGAGAAGATGGGGGTTGCTTATTCGAGGGGGGGCACTTATTTAATTTTTCCGAAATCGTGGCCTGACATGATCATTTTTTTTAATACATCATCTGCACGTAACCAACAACATGAACTGTTTATTGACATAAAAAGCTGATCCTAAAGTTTAAATCGCGGCACTGTTAATACTTAAAGTGTTCAACGTGTTCACTTAACGAGTTCACAAACTGAAACAATGTAAAAATCTAAGCTCTACATGACGAAAACTATACATTGTTGTCTCATTACTCGCCCACAAAATGGGGGGAGGGGAGGGGGCGCTTATTTTAAATTTCAGCCGATAGGGGGGTACTTATTCGAAGGGGGTGCTTATTCGAGGGGGGACGCTAATTCGAAGATTTACGGTATGTTAAAAATCACAAATGATACTGATCAATGCACAGGCGGCCAAAATATGGATTGAAATAATTGACTTTTCAAGCAAAACTGTTGCGTTCCCATACAAACCTTTATAAATGTGTTACTTTAAGCACATGTATTACTTCTTGTATTGCTAAAGATAGATTCATCAGATTATTCGTGGGTGCAAATTACATTAGTGTCCAACCAAATTCAATTTAGTACTATGTGACTGGTCTAAATAGAGATTTAAAAGAGCACAAGTCATGCCCTGATATATCATGAACATTATTTCTTAAGCACTGTAAATGCTTCATGAAGATTTGTTTTGCTGAATTTACAGGAAGAGAATGTTGAATGACATGTTGAGGTTTGACATCAAAGACAATTCATGGAGCAGGTATAGCTTAAAGTATTAAATGCTATTGTTTAAGTCTTTGTTTGAGCCAAGTGGCCCTATCTGACCATTGCCAGGTTCCCTAGCATGAGGCAACCGCAGGAGTACGGGCAATTCTACTCCTCCCTGAAATGTGATGATAAGTGAGGGATTTCAGGTAAAACATCCTACAAGGCCAGCTGCATGACCCGACAAATAAATATTAAATAAATTTATAATGATTTGGTAGGAGCAGTGGGAGTTGATCCATTGTTTTAGTAATTCTTTCAGTGTTGGCACCCTGCCTTGAAAACTTATCTGAAGCCCTGTGATGCTAGTTCACTGCAGGGATACCAGTGGTGGATCTAATGGAGGGCCCCCCCTTATTTTGGGTGGAAAAAGAAGAAATGACTGAAGGAAGAAAAGCCAGCAGGGCAAGTAAAACACCCCCCCCCCCCCCCCCCCCCCC